GATTCAGAAAACTAACGCAGTAACAAGTCAAAGTTTAGAGGATGTGCGCCTTTGCCTCTCTGATACCATCTACAGAGTGAAAGAAACTGTAGCTTTATACCAAGACACGAAATCTCAAAAAGGTTCATAAGACGTATGATCCGAATCCCACAAGATTCAAATATACAAGATCGAATCCCTACAAAATTCTCAAAAGATTCATAAATATCGTGATCTAAATTCTCAGTTGTAAGGACCAATGGGAAGTCGAATACTTGAGAAACTGGGTCGAGGCGATATTCGGATAAGCTGAAGTTAATTCCTCTCGATGGTGGGCTGGTGGTGTGGTGGTGCGTGACGGTCTGGGTAACACACAGCTTGTCAACCTGCTCTGTGTGTGTGTGTGTGTGTGTGTGTGTGAGTGTGTGTGTGAAAATGACTTGTTTTTAACATGATTTTGTTTGTATGACTGTGAGGTAAAATATTTTTTATTTAAAACCAATTACTTACATCTGTGTGATTGCGATTTTAATTTTCACGAGTTTCTCCCATTTATTATTATTATTATCTAACCTACGAACCTAAAACAACTGACACACAAACATACAAATCACAAGACAGCTTTCAGTCAATCGCATCTCCTCGTTCTCTTGTTAATATACCGGACGGAATGTAAATCAAACACAAACTTGGTAGTTCAAATACCTAATCTCTTGCTACAGTATGTTCCCTCGGCGCCTCAGTACACAAACATAACTTTGTCTTTCAGCGCTTGAAGTCTTGAAGTAAAGTTGGGTTAGAAGAGCATAGTTTTATCTTCCACTAGACGGGCGGCTCTTACAGGCATCAACTTCTTCCACAGACGGGCGGCTCTTACAGGCATCACTTCCACTAGACGGGCGGCTCTTACAGGCATCAACTTCTTCCACTAGACGGGCGGCTCTTACAGGCATCAACTCCTTCCACTAGACGGGCGGCTCTTCAGGCATCAACTTCTTCCACTAGACGGGCGGCTCTTACAGGCATCAACTTCTTCACTAGACGGGCGGCTCATACAGGCATCAACTGCCACTAGCGGGCGCCTCTTACGGGCATCAACTTCTTCCACTAGACGGGCGGCTCTTGCGGCATCAACTTCTTCCACTAGACGGGCGCTCTTACAGGCATCAACTTCTTCCACTAGACGAGCGGCTCTTAGAGGCATCAACTTCTTCCACTAGACGGGCGGCTCTTACAGGCATCAACTTCTTCCACTAGACGAGCGGCTCTTAGAGCATCAACTTCTTCCACTAGACGGGCGGCTCTTACAGGCATCAACTTCTTCCACTAGACGGGCGGCTCTTACAGGCATCAACTTCTTCCACTAGACGGGCGGCTCTTACAGGCATCAACTTCTTCCACTAGACGGGCGGCTCTTACAGGCATCAACTTCTTCCACTAGACGGGCGGCTCTTACAGGCATCAACTTCTTCCACTAGACGAGCGGCTCTTAGAGCATCAACTTCTTCCACTAGACGGGCGGCTCTTACAGGCATCACTTCCACTAGACGGGCGGCTCTTACAGGCATCAACTTCTTCCACTAGACGGGCGGCTCTTACAGGCATCAACTTCTTCCACTAGTCGGGCGACTCTTACAGGCATCAACTTCTTCCACTAGACGGGCGGCTCTTACAGGCATCAACTCTTCCACTAGACGGGCGGCTCTTACAGGCATCAACTTCTTCCACTAGTCGGGCGGCTCTTACAGGCATCAACTTCTTCCACTAGGGGCGGCTCTTACAGGCATCAACTTCTTCCACTAGACGGGCGGCTCTTACAGGCATCAACTTCTTCCACTAGACGGGCGGCTCTTACAGGCATCAACTTCTTCCACTAGACGGGCGGCTCTTACAGGCATCAACTTCCACTAGACGGGCGGCTCTTACAGGCATCAACTTCTTCCACTAGACGGGCGCTCTTCAGCCATCAACTTCTTCCACTAGACGGGCGGCTCTTACAGGCATCAACTTCTTCCACTAGGCGGCTCTTACAGGCATCAACTTCTTCCACTAGACGGGCGGCTCTTACAGGCATCAACTTCTTCCACTAGACGGGCGGCTCTTACAGGCATCAACTTCTTCCACTAGACGGGCGGCTCTTACAGGCATCAACTCCTTCCACTAGACGGGCGGCTCTTACAGGCATCAACTTCTTCCACTAGACGGGCGGCTCTTACAGGCATAACTTCTTCCACTAGACGGGCGGCTCTTACAGGCATCAACTTCTTCACTAGACGGGCGGCTCTTACAGGCATCAACTTCTTCCACTAGACGGGCGCTCTTACAGGCATCAACTTCTTCCACTAGACGGGCGGCTCTTACAGGCATCAACTTCTTCCACTAGACGGGCGGCTCTCACAGGCATCAACTCTCCTAGTTCGGAATGCCAACACGCCTCGTGAATTCTCCTCTTTGAGCAAACTTCGTGGACAGAATCCAATTAGATAATTTCTACACGACAAACAAAAACAACACTTCCAGTATTAAAATAGTTGAGTGGGTTAGGTTAGGTTGAGGTGAGGTTAGGTTTAGGTGAGGTTAGGTTAGGTTGAGGTGAGGTTAGGTTAGGTTTATGTGAGGTTAGGTTTAGGTGAGGTTAGGTTAGGTTGAGGGTGAGGTTAGGTTAGGTTGAGGTGAGGTTAGGTTTAGGTGAGGTTAGGTTAGGTTGAGGTGAGGTTGGGTTAGGTTAGGTTAGGTTGAGGTGAGGTTAGGTTTAGGTGAGGTTAGGTTAGGTTTAGGTGAGGCTAGGTTTGGGTGAGGCTAGGTTTAAGTGAGGTTAGGTTTAAGTGAGGTTAGGTTAGGTTGAGGTGAGGTTAGTTTAGGTGAGGTTAGGTTAGGTTGAGGTGTTGGTTGGTTTATGGAGGTTAGGTTTAGGTGAGGTTAGGTTAGGTTGAGGTGAGGAGGTTAGGTGAGGTGAGGTTAGGTTTAGGTGGGGTTAGGTTAGGTTGAGGTGAGGTTAGGTTAGGTTAGGTTGAGGTGAGGTTAGGTTTAGGTGAGGTTAGGTTAGGTTTAGGTGAGGCTAGGTTTAGGTGAGGCTAGGTTTAAGTGAGGTTAGGTTTAAGTGAGGTTAGGTTAGGTTGGAGGTGAGGTTAGGTTAGGTTTAGGTTAGGTTAGGTTTAGGTGAGGTTAGGTTAGGTTGAGGTGAGGTTGGTTTGAGGTTAGGTTAGGTTTGGTGAGGCTAGGTTTAGGTGAGGCTAGGTTTAAGTGAGGCTAGGTTTAAGTGAGGTTAGGTTAGGTGAGGTTAGGTTAAGTTAGGTTGAAGATAGATTAAGGCTACGTAAGGTTCAGATGTTACCTTAGATTAGGATTTGGGTTAAGTTAGGTTAGGTCAGGTCATTTAGGTTAGGTTAAGGGTCACCCACACACCACCATCATTACTAGGCTCCTACCTCAATATATTTCAAGAGTAACTTACATACATTGCATCAAACTACCTTGTATAAATGTGTGTAATACAACTTAACCATCAATCAATCGGTTTATGTATGAGTTAAGCATCAATCTCTATTTTATTAACCTAATTTTACCTCATATAAATAGGATACATAAATAACCACGACAACTACAACCACCATGACATCAATAACAACCATCAATTACAACTACTGCAACAACTACGATAACTACATCAATAACCACCAAATTTATGTACTGTACTACAACTGAATTACAACAATAGCTAATTAATAATACCACAACAACAATCATCAAATACAACCACCACAACATCAATAACAACCACCACATAACAACAACCACGACATCAATAGCAACCACCACCACAACAACTAATTCATCAACAGCTAACAAATACAATAAAAAACAACAACAACTCATAACCATCAAAAAACACAACAACAACAACAACAACAACAATGAATTGCTATCACCAAAATTCCGCCTCGACAAGAAAAAAACCCAAAAACATATAACTAATAACAAAAACAACAATAACAATAAAAATAACAACAACAGCAATAACAACAACAACAATAACACAAACAACAACAACAAAAGAATATAAACGAATAAATAACTACACAATAACACAAGACCAAAACATATACAGGTAAATGGGGGTGGGGGTGGAACATGGAACAAAAATGAGGGGTGGGGTGGAACAGGTAAATGGGTGGTGGAGGAGGGGGTGAACAGGTAATAAAAAGTCAGGCTATAGATAAGGACACAATATAAAAAAAAGTGTAAAAGATAAGGTATAGAGAAGGTGAGATAAGGAAGAGAATAAGATAAATATTAAAACTGGACAATGACAAGAAAGAAAGAGATAACAAAGAAATAAGGCAAGAGAGAGAGAGATAAAATCATGAAGAAATAAATAAGAGAATGAAGATAATAAGATAGAAGGATAAGATACGGAACAGGAGCCAGATGAAAATAAAGAAAGTCCAATAATCACGATGAAATATAATAAATGGCAGAGATATACCTAAAATAATATATCAAAGGGGGTACGGATATAATTCTACTCAAATGAAGGTATATTACACTGATATATAAACCCGAGTCTTCTAAACTAGTATAATGGGGTATACTTAGTGTGAGTATTATGGGGTATATATTTCATACTTAAAGGGTATCAATCATACTAATTATGCTGAGAAATATACCTTTCAGTATACAGTATACTCGCACATAGGTATACCCTCTTATATTTACCATCTCAAAATATGTGCTATTTATATATACAAAGTAAATAAATCGCTATCTGTATTAGTAATATGATAAACCTCCGACTTAAAATAACAATGTACAGTATAATCCTAGAATTTAAAACTAAAATAAATTGTGCCTTTAAAGTAAAAAAAAAGTGTTAAAAAATAGACCAACTTTCATAACTATAAACTTTGTGCTTTTAAGTCAACACACAAAAGGTTGAATCAGGGTGGTGGGGGGCACCTTGAGTGAGAATACAAGCAGGTCTGCCTACAACAGTGCTACAGTGTAGGACTACAGGTGCCTGCCATAACCTGCCTCTACTCTGCCGTGAGGAGGAAGGAAAGAAGCTGCCAGAGTGATAATTTCATCTCAGATAAGAAATAATTTAAGGCGTTGAAGGCTGACAATAAAACACACAAGTACAAACACAACAAAACACTTAAAAACATTCACAAATAACAGCAACAAATCAAATTAACAAACAAACAGACAGTGGAAAAAAAAATCAAGGGTCAAACGGCAAAATAAAGATATAATACTGTGTTGGGTGTCAGAGTTCGGTAAGGCATTCACTATATACAAGACGTGTCTAAGAAGGTCAGGCAGAAACTAAAATCAGTCCTAAGACGCTGTGCAACAAGCCTCACTATCCCTTGGCTTACCGTCCCGTGCTCCGATTTCACTGAAAGTTTCGTCTGGAAGTGGATGGAAGGTGGTGAGCGGAGGTCAATATACAGTATGTACACAACACTTACTTAAGCGATTATAATATTATGTCTCTCCCCAGCACACACACACACAGCCACAGCTCACTGAAGATCTACAGTACCTGAAACATCAGCCCAAGGATGTCAACAAACACATATAAACAGAACATCAACTCAACAGCAGATGAGGAAACAGGTTCATATTTTCATGTTAAGATTGAGACACTTCTACGGTGCCTGTCTGTCTGTTAGTTTGAATTAAGATTAGAGTAATTTTGGAAACATTAGCTCCAGGATGTATTACAAATACTTAACATAACAGAAAGATAACAGAAAGATTAGAAGAAAAAGAATCACATTTCTATGATTCTTCACAAGCGGTTAAAAGGATTAGTAACACTGATCAGGAAAACGAACACAACACATATTAATATTTTCCTGCAACTTTAAGACACTTGACAGTTTTTCTCTGTTAGGGTAAGTTATAGGTTAGGATTATACACAGTGGAGATATAATTCCTGTTATGATATGAAAGATTATTATCAAAGTGCATGTTAAAGTGGAGAGGGAGAGGGATCACATCTGCACACACTCCACTACTCCACCACAGCTGCACACTCACTACTCACCACAGCTGCACACACTCCACTACTTCACCACATCTCCACTCACTACCCCACCACAGCTGCACACTCCACTACTCCCATCACATCTGCACACACTCCACTACTCCACCACAGCTGCACACGCTCCACTACCCACCACAGCTGCACACTCACTACTCCACCACATCTGCACACCCCACTACTCCACCACATCTGCACACTCCACTACTCCACCACATCTGCACACACCCACTACTCCACATCTGACACACTCCACTACTCCACCACAGCTGCACACTCCACTACTCCACACAGCTGCACACTCCCACTACTTCACCACATCTGCACACACTCCACTACTCCACCACATCTGCACACACTCCTACTCCACCACCACTCCACTACTCCACCACAGCTGCACACGCTCCACTACTTCACCACATCTGCACACCACTACTCCACCACATCTGCACACTCCACTACTCCACCACATCTGAACACACTCCACTACTCCACCACATCTGCACACACTCCCACTCTCCACATCTGCACACACTCACTACTCCACCACATCTGCACACACTCCACTACCCCACCACAGCTGCACACTCCACTACTTCACCACAGCTGCACACACTCCACTACTCACCACAGCTGCACACTCACTACCTACCACAGCTGCACACACTCACTACTCCACCACAGCTGCACACTCACTACTCCACCACAGCTGCACACACTCCACTACTCCACCACAGCTGCACACACTCCACTACTCCACCACAGCTGCACACACACACAGATACACTCAGAGGTCGGTTGTCAAAGGATACCAACAGTCACCATAAGAGCACAAAGACAAGAGTCGCAGCTATTGGAATCAGTTTACCCGTCACAAAAACGTCAATGGGAATAATGTACGCTTTTTAGATCCGTTCTTGTGTGTGTGTGTGTGTGTGTGTGTGTGTGTGTGTGGGGGTGAAATGGACGATTTATGTTTTCTGAAAAGCGTTGAGAGAATCATTTAATGTTTTGGATAGAAAAGAAAAATAAACTTTGAAATAAAATGCTGGAATTCTTCTTCGTTCTCCTCGACACTATTCGCGTAATGAAATACAAGTGAATTTTTAGCTGTCATACGTGATTTTTAACCTTTCTCTTGGTCATTTATGAGTCTTTGGTAATTAATGGTCGTTCACTGCGCCCGTCCAACATGTCCAGGGCGTCGAGGGACAGTAAGGTCCAAGGATTTAGAACACAAAAATGCATTATAAGTTCTTAAAAATCACCTCCAATTAAAATCAAACCATGATTAACCTCTTGAAAACGATCGGCGTCACTAATTAAACGAGATGCCAACGACGTCCTTCAAGTAATCACCGCTGCCGTGGGGAGAGTAATCACTGTATTGTTACTGGTGGGGGTGTTGAGTAGTATTCCAGGGGTGTAATGACCTGGTGAGACTGCTCAAACAGTGGCCGTAAAGGTGACAACATTAGTGTAATGGGTTTCCTCTCAACTATATGACACCAGCATGCCAGCCAGCCAGCCAAACCAATCATGGGATAGATCGTGTGCCACCACAGCCAATCATAGGTCACCGGGTACACTAACTGGGGGCTTGGTGGGTTGGTGATACACCGACTAACTGACCGGGAGGTATTTTAGTTATGGCCACCAGGAGGCGTACGACCTAATATACAACCTCCGTAAAGTGAAATAATGAAACTGGTGTACCATTAGTCTGGCCAGTAGGGCGGGGGGGCATAGATAAAGCCTCCGGTACACAGAATCAGTAGTTTCTCGGTACTACACCTACAGTGCTCACTTCACTATCAGGAAAGCTGGGGCTCCTTCACTGCTGGGGGAGCAGAGGTACCCGGGTGTCAATCAGCTGTACCTAAGATAAAGTCGAGTGGTGTACCTATGCTGTACCGCTACACCACGCCTTAATGGTCAGTTCTCACACCGTAACCCGACGGTACCATCCCGCTCACAACACACGGCATGAGTACACTTTATACACACAAAGACTCACACGGCCAGCAGACAAACACGGTCACAGACAAACACTCACACGGCCAGCAGACAAACACTCACACGGCTAGCAGACAAACACTCACACGGCTAGCAGACAAACACTCACACGGCCAGCAGGCAAACACTCACAAGGCCAGCAGACAAACACTCACACGGCTAGCAGACAAACACTCACACGGCCAGCAGACAAACACTCACAAGGCCAGCAGGCAAACACTCAAAAGCCAGCAGACAAACACTCACACGGCTATCAGACAAACACTCACAAGGACAGACAAACACTCACAGGCCAGCGGACAAACACTCACAAGACAGCAAACACTCAAAGGCCAGCAGACAAACACTCACACGGCCAGCAGACAAACACTCACAAGGACAGCAGACAAACACTCACAAGGACAGCAGACAAACACTCACGGCCAGCAGACAAACGCTCACAAGGCCAGCAGACAAACACGCAGGCAGCAGACAAACACTCACAAAGCGACAAACACTCACAAGGCCAGCAGACAAACACTCACACGGCCAGCAGACAAACACTCACAAGGCCAGCAGACAAACACTCACACGGCCAGCAGACAAACACTCACAAGGCCAGCAGACAAACACTCACACAGGCCAGCAGACAAACACCCACACAGCTAGCAGACAAACACTCACGGCCAGCAGACAAACACTCACACAGCCAGCAGACAAACCACACGGCTAGCAGACAAACACTCACAAGGCCAGTAGACAAACACTCACACGGCCAGCAGGTAACACTCACAAGGACAGCAACACTCACACAGCCAGCAGACAAACGCTCACAAGGCCAGCAGACAAACACGCACACGGCCAGCAGACAAACACGCACACGGCAGCAGACAAACACTCACAAAGCCAGCAGACAAACACTCACACAAGGCCAGCAGACAAACACTCACACGGCCAGCAGAAAAATACTCCTACGGCTAGCAGAAAAACACTCACGGCCAGCAGACAAACACTCACAAGGCCAGCAGACAAACACTCACACGGCCAGCAGACAAACACCCACACGGCTAGCAGACAAACACTCACAAGGCCAGCAGACAAACACTCACACGGCCAGCAGACAAACACTCACACGGCCAGCAGACAAACACTCACAAAGACAGCAGACAAACACTCACAGGCCAGCAGACAAACACTCACAAGGACAGCAGACAAACACTCACACGGCCAGCAGACAAACACTCACACGGCCAGCAGACAAACACTCACAAGGCCAGCAGACAAACCCTCACACGGCCAGCAGACAAACACTCACACGGCCAGCAGACAAACACTCACACGGCCGCGGCAAACATCTACACGGCTAGCAGACAAACACTCACAAGGCCAGCAGACAAACACTCACACGGCAGCAGACAAACACTCACAAGGACAGCAGACAAACACTCACGGCCACAGACAAACACTCACAAGGCCAGCAGACAAACACTCACACGGCCAGCAGACAAACACTCACAAGGCCAGCAGACAAACACTCACAAGGCCAGCAGACAAACACACACACGGCCAGCAGAAAAACACTTACACGGCCAGTAGGCAAACACTCACAAGGCCAGCAGACAACACTACGGCCAGCAGACAAACACCCACACGGCTAGCAACCTCACGGCCAGCAGCAGACAAACACTCACAAGGCCAGCAGACAAACACACACACGGCCAGCAGAAAAACACTCACACGGCCAGTGGCAAACACTCACAAGGCCAGCAGACAAACACTCACACGGCCAGCAGACAAACACCCACACGGCTAGCAGACAAACACTCACACGGCCAGCAGACAAACACACACACGGCCAGCAGACAAACACTCACAAGGCCAGCAGACAAACACTCACAAGGCCAGCAGACAAACACCCACACAGGCTAGCAGAAAAACACGCACACAGGCAGTAGGCAAACACTCACAAGGCCAGCAGACAAACACTCACAGGCCAGCAGACAAACACACACGGCTAGCAGACAAACACTCACACGGCCAGCAGACAAACACTCACACAGCCAGCAGACAAACACCCACACGGCTAGCAGACAAACACTCACAAGGCCAGTAGCAAACACTCACACGGCCAGCAGGGTAACACTCACGGCCAGCAGACAAACACTCACAAGGACAGCAGACAAACACTCACGGCCAGCAGACAAACACTCACACGGCCAGCAGACAAACACTCACAAGGCCAGCAGACAAACACTCACGGCCAGCAGACAAACATTCACACGGCCAGCAGACAAACACTCAGGCCAGCAGACAAACACTCACAAGGCCAGCAGACAAACACCCACACGGCCCAACTCGCAGCAGAAACCTCCAGGTAGCAGACAACACTCACGGACAGACAAACACTCAAGGACAGCAGACAAACACTCACGGGCCAGCAGACAAACACTCACAAGGCCAGCAGACAAACACTCACAAGGCCAGCAGACAAACACTCACACGGCCAGCAGACAAACATTCACACGGCCAGCAGACAAACACTCACACGGCCAGCAGACAAACACTCACAAGGCCAGCAGACAAACACTCACAAGGCCAGCAGACAAACACTACATAATAGAACATAATTACTCCTCAAAGAGCCTCTCTCCTCCCCTCTAAACCAGTGAAGCTTAAGGCAACTTCAAAAGGTCAGAACGGGGGGAGAGAGAGAGAGAGAGAGAGAGAGAGAGAGAGAGAGAGAGAGAGAGAGAGAGAGCTCCAGCCTTATCCTCTGAGTGGACGAGCTTGTTAAATACACCCTGGAGCATGAGTGCGTCGCCGGATTGGCTGCCACCACTATAAGAGCTAATTACCTCACGAGGTAGTTAAGCGGGTTTGTTGTTGCTAATTCTCGCCTCTCGTGAGTTACTACCTGCCTGCGTCACCTCAAGAGAAGTTTGTCAATACAATTAACTTCCGTCTCAGGATTCTTCAATGTTCGTAAAGTGAAGAAGTCCTCCTAACTAACTACTTCACCTTTACACCACGGAATAAATATTAATTACATTCAATATGGCATTTAACTTAACACTGGTTTTCTGCCTTAAGTAATATTTCCACGGACTGTGGGTGGAGGTCAGTGGGTTACTGTACCCACTTAAAGACCTTAGTTGTTGAAGCTCAGCACTTGATAACAATATAACACTTGATAACAATATAACTCCTGATAACAATATAACTCCTGATAACACTTGATAACAATATAACACGTGATAACAATATAACTCCTGATAACACTTGATAACAATATAACATCTTAAGGACGAAAATTCTATATTATAAACTTAAGTGAGATTATTTTTTAAACTAATTTTAAGCAGTAAATTTCGTATGATCAGTAATCAGTCAAACTAATGACAAATATTTCAAATTTCTTGCCCCACAAGACATAATCTGAATGGATGTTAATACGGACCAATCATGAGACTTGGAGGAAAGTGTACAGTAGGAAGGAGCCACAGTGTGCCTGTAACGATGCCACTCGTCCTCACCACAAACTCTTGCACCAGACACACAACACCTTATCCTGGGGTCACCAACCACACACTGGATGAAAGCTCAACTTTCACACAACATTACATCTATGGGCGGACACGACAAGTCACGACAATTCCTTAGTATTTAATGTATCGTATTTATATTTTTATTTTAAGTTAGAGTAAGTTTTCGGTGTTGATATCTTGCGCACTTGATGACGCAAAAATTAGCTTGTGAAACACTCTGGTAATAAAGCTATCATAAAGGGAACACGAGCTTCTTGTACAAGTTGAGGTACTGTGGTCCCCATCAGCGGGTGTTGTTGGTCTCTGTTATGTTATGTTACCAGAGTGCTTCACTAGTCCGGTTACTTATGTTTGGTTTCATTGTATAACATTAGGATGAGATTAAGTTGTGTTAAGCAACATATGTGTAATTAAACACACTACCTACCTGGAGCAACATATGTGTAAAAGCCCAGCCACACCTCCCGGGGCTTCATGTGTGTAATTACCACACCCACATTACATATGTGCAATTATCACACTTTTCGGAGCTTCATATCTGTAATTATCAAACGTCCTGTCGCTACACCTAACAACTACACACCTGTAATAACTAATCCCACCTTCCACCTACACACCTGAGGTCATCACCCTCCTGACCCTACACACCTGGGGATATGACCAACGCTAAAACTACACACCTGTAACACCACCACCATCCCTTGGACACACACCCACACACCTGCTTGAGAACGACGGTGTAGATGTGGGTGTAGAAGACCGCCATGAGGAGACCCGGGCCGATGATGGTGCAGAAGTAGAGGAAGACCAGGTAGTCGTAGTTCATGACCTGGGTGAAGACGCAGGAGGCTTTGTACTCCTCGTGCCACCCCATCATCGGCAGGAGACCCACCAGCGTCCCCGCCCCCCAGCAGCCGAAGATAATGCCTGTGGGGGTGAGAAGAAGAAGAGGCATTAGTGATGGAGGTGATGCCGGGTGATGGTGATAGAGATATAAGATGACGGCGGGGTGAAGGAGGGGTGAAAAGGTGAGGAAATAAAGGGAGGGGGGGTTAAGGGGAGATGGGGTGACGGGAAAGATAAAAATATTAAAGAACGATGGGAAGATACCACACTACCACAGTATACCGCCATCATGCACAGTATATGAAGGTTTAATGACCACAATCTACTCCCGCTCCCCTTAATGGTTAATACACCCATACGACCACCAACACGCACAATGGAAGGAGTTAAGTGGCATATCCGAGACGTTAAATGGATGTTAATTACCACTTATCTACCAGCTAATACACCTTCACCTGCTGCTGTACGATCACCCACTGCGGTATAACACTTTCAATGAGGGTGATATTGTGAGAAGATTAGTATTTATCTACCACACACACACTCAGTGTCACAGCACACACACACACACACACAGCCACACAGCCCCACACACACACACACACAAACACACACACACACACACACACACACACACACACACACACACACACACACACACACACCTCTCCCTCTCATCTCTTCCCCAGTCTCTCATTGCGACTCTACCTCACCACCAGGGCCGGACCGTCACCCTAGCGGGGGTCTGTATCATAAACATTATGTGCTGCCTGGAAAACAACCCCGCCACTTGCTCAAATCAAAACCTAACCTAACTAAACCAATTTAAAATGACTCTTAAAAAAAATCCTAAAGAATAGTGTAAACAAGAGAACGAATGTAATAATAATAATAATAATAATAACAATAATAATAATAATAATAATAATAATAATAATAATAATAATAATAATAATAATAATAATAATAATAATAATAACAAAGCCTTAAAACTGGATAAAATACCAACATTAATTATTTTTTCTACCATAAAAATCCAATAATCACGTCACCGAATCAGTCCGGTTCAGGCGATAAAAAACTCTACGGACTAGACCACCCGCGTTTAATTAACTTACACTATCTGCTAACCTAACTTAATCTAACCTGTAGAGTCTCTTGTGAGTCTTATTATGTGTGTGGTACAGTCGAAAAGGGAGCCTCACACACACACACACACACACACACACACACACACACACACACACACACACACACACAGAAGTAAAACAGAATGTACGATTCTTCAACCCCTGACATGCACAATGTATAGAGAGAGAGAGAGAGAGAGAGAGAGAGAGAGAGAGAGAGAGAGAGAGAGAGAGAGAGAGGGCACTGGTCATGAGGATGCTGGACTGAATTCTGATGAGCTCTCGGGAAAAGCCAATCACCAGAGGCTATTGTTGGGAGGTAAGCGGATAAGAACAACAAGGAGACGAGGAGGAGGAGTGGGAGGGAAGGAGAAGAAGGAAGAGAAAGGGAAAGAGAAGGACAGGGAGGAAAAAGAAATAGGTTGTATTAATTTGTGAGCGAGTCTTCAACTTCGAACACTAGACGTCTGAGGATGCCAGATGTGCAGTGTCGCTGTTGTGTTAGGCATGTGAGCTGTAGTGGTGGCATCTCTGTGCTGCTTTTGTGTGCATGTCAGGGGTTGAAAGATGGTACGATTCTGTTTTACTTCTGTGTGTGTGTGTGTGTGTGTGTGTGTGTGTGTGTGTGTGTGTAATATTAGATACTACATCTTTCTGTCTATTTGTCTGTCACCCTAAACTGTTCTAATAACCTTTAAAGGAAAAATTAGATGCGGCCACTCTGTCTGTGTCTCTCTGTCTGTGTCTGTCTGTCTGTCTGTCTGTCTGTCTGTGTCTGTCTGTCTGTGTCTGTCTGTCTGTCTGTCTGTCTGTCTGTGTCTGTCTGTCTGTGTCTGTCTGTGTCTGTCTGTCTGTGTCTGTCTGTTTGTCTGTCTGCTATGTCTCTCACAGGACAAAAACACACTGGCTTTTCTTCCGTGTTGTCTGTTTTTTCTTGTAAACAATTAACAACTGATCGTCACTCCTTCAACTCTGTGATAATTAATTTGAAACTCGTCCGACTTTTGCCTCACGATCCAACACACACAGAAATGTCGCATTATTGGTCTATTTTGACTTTTTGGAGAATTGTAATGGGGTCAAAGGTCGAATAATCTAATCAAGTTTAACCTAATGTTCGGTCATATTTAAACCAATTAAGATGAGTCACATATACACCAAATATTATCCTCACAACAACGAATTAAAAAATATATATATATTATGGCTTGTTTATATATAAATTCAGAGAGGTCAAAGGTCGGGAAACATGACCTGATTTAAGAGGGGAGATATATTGCTTTAGCTTTCGAGTGTTCTTGTTAGTTCCAGGTTCTATCCCATTAGTATGAAGCGATCAATGGAAGGCTGGGAGTGTGAGCTGTGTCTGGCAGTAGTAATGAGCGCCCGTGACAGCAGCAGGCAGACAAGCGTTCAGCTGTCGTTACTTTCATGTCATAGCGAGGGGCGGCGGGAGACCAATATGACATTGACTGAATGTTTATCTTGTTTGGTGGTCTTGACTCGACGAAGGGTTAGGTTTGGTTAGGTTCCTAGGGTTATTACTTACATAGGAAGGGAAAAGAAGGTGCACTGACGGGGAAAGAAGGGGAATTGACGGGGAAAGAAGGGGCGTTGACGGGGAAAAAAGGGGCGTTGACGGGGAAAAAAGGGGCGTTGACGGGGAAAGAAGAGGCGTTGACGGGGAAAAAAAGGGCACTTGCGAGGAAAGAAGGGGCTGGTGGGTGACAGTTGCTTTAAAACAACCTGAGACTCAAAAATGTCTAATAAGCCGTCGTAGGTTTAGACTAACTCTACTCTCATAACTCCCGCCTATAACCGTGGCTAAGATGCATCACATTTACTTAATATATAATAGTAAGGTCTCGGTGCAGGTTGGCGGCCATGTTTGTGTCGTAACGTTAGTCAGCCAAACGTAAGCGTTCTCATCTTCTCCAGTTGAAAGAAATATGGAAGAATCTTGGGTTTAGGCTTCAATCACATATAGGAGCCTCTGGGGATTACAGCCTTGACTATACTGTGTTAATAGGTGCCAGCCCCAAGGAGCCAGACACAAGACCCGCCTGAGGGAGGGACGACGGAGGCCCAGGAGGTGGTCTTCATCATTACACCAGACGATCCTCAAAGACTCACACGTTAAATATTCACCTTAACTGACGAACTGTGAACGTATATATCTAACTAACGCACCAAGTTAAGACATAATAATGGATTCTTAACCCCCCCAAAAAGTTCAGAAGTTAAATATTCGTCCAAATTGCGGCCGTGAGCACGCATCTAAACGCCTCATTTAAGCTTCGGTATAATGAAGGAACATGAAACACTCTCCCTCAGGTCTGTAGAGAAATGACTGTGTGTTTAACTATCATTAAGAGACGTTAGGAAGATGGACTCACCCAAGGCCACGATGATAAACATATCTCTCAGACACTGTAGAGGTGAGAACGTATCGAAAACTGTCTCACTTAGGTTACGATGTCTCACTTATGTTACGAAACGAAGGTGGATTCTCAAAGCTTCGTACGTTACATAGTTCTTAGTTTTAGACCATAGGGAGGGAGGGAGGGAGGGAGGGAGGAGGGAGGGAGGGAGGGAGGGAGGGAGGGAGGGAGGGAGGAGGGAGGGAGGAGGGGGAGGGAGGGAGGAGGGAGGGAGGGGAGGGAGGGAGGAGGGAGGGAGGAGGGAGGGAGGAGGGAGGGAGGGAGGGGAGGGAGGGAGGGAGGGAGGAGGGAGGGAGGGAGGGAGGGAGGAGGGAGGGAGGAGGAGGGAGGAGGAGGGAGGAGGAGGAGGAGGAGAGGGAGGAGGAGGAAGGAAGGACTGCAGTAGACACACATTAGAGGTTGTTCCTCAAGGTCAGGTGTAATACTTGGTTGGCTTTAAGTACTGTACATGTTGTGGCTGATACGTTGACTGTTTTGTGTAGTGATTATACAGTATATAACAATACCTTTACTACTACTACAACTTTTTTTTTTTTTAACGTGGCCTCCAGCCTCCCCAATAGCCACACCTTCGCCACCATTTTATTACCTTAATATTAAATATCCTAATACATAAAGTAGCTATCTATCTGTGTTAGAATTAGTTGAGCCGCAGATCTGTATGCGGCATTCAGTGACTGTAGCCTCACCAGTAAATATCTGCTGCAGTTGTCGGGTTAGGGCAAGCTCTCGTTCCTGAGGGCAGAAACAAAATACGTCCGAAGGAGAACCAGTCGACATCTCCTACAGCATCCAGGCTGTAAAGGAGAGGCTTCTGGGCTGCTGGCTGTTCGGAATCCTCCGCACCAGTCTGGCGTAGAAACATCTTGCACTTGGTCCCATCACAGGGATATTTGTGAACACTGGGGAGTGAAGGCTGCCTTGATCAACGTTTGGATCCTCTCTCATATGCCCTTATCTTGTCGTTCTCGTTCCTCCTATATGTGCAGCATCGAGAGCTAGGTTACGGTGACATGCAGCCATGGGATCAAAATCCTGATGTCGAAGAAAGCTCGCTGTCCCCACGTCCAGAATCCTCGAGCACGCTAGCGTCAACACAGGCTTCGTTAGATGTCGTTTGATCCTGTTGGAAGATCTCACCATCCAATGGAAGAAGGATCGGTTCTACTTGACATCCCGGCAAATTTCCTTCCAGCATATTTGCTGTGAGGTCCGCACTGCGTCATGCCTCATGCATATAGGCCTTTCTTGCACTATGGCGTGATCGCCGTCATGGGAGAAGAGCCACACACACACATTGGGAGGGCAAAACCTTCCACTGGCCGACCATTACCTTAGAGCAATAGCATCTATGTAAATTCTTGTTTGTTAAGACTGAAACCATTTGCCCATATCGGTAACGTAGTTAACAGTTCGAAGGCGCCCACCTCGCATATAGCTACTTTTTTTTTCAAATTTTTCTGGAACCTGCAGCAATAGTTGCTGCAACTTATCGGCCCTGGCAGTGCTGTCGATCTGTGGTAATGGACCTTGAGAATCTCGTTTACTTCACTGGTATCGGCCTCCCTGTTGTGTTCTGGAG